ACAACAAATGGAAAAGGAAGTGAAACTCAAATTGGGCATGTGTATGACCTTTGTGGGCTGCTCTGTTGCCTAGAGGTCCCCAGTGAAAGCTGAGCTTATGGTTAAGAGGAAGCTTGACCATGAATTTCTGACCTCCTTTGCCTTGAACTCCATCACCCCCAAAAGACAGGCACGTAGATATCTGCGGCTCACAGTGACATGCAGCAGTGCCACTTAAGCTGCAAAATTGGTGGGGTGCTAGCCCAGTGGTCAGGGGTCAGGGTTCTTGCTGGGCAGGTGTGGCGTGGTGGCAGAAATGCTGGACTGAGAGGGTCAGGAGCTGGGGGTGCCACTCACCTCCAGGCAGCCCAGCACCAGGGGCCTCGTTCAGGCGAATGGTGCCCCCTGGAGTTGGGCAATGGTGTGTTATCACCGAATTGGCTAGTTCTCTTCCTGAACTTCAGTTCATACTTACAATGATACTAATAATACTTGTATTGTACAGATTGTGAGTTATACATAAAATAATGTGTGAATGGTCAGACACCACCCCCCAAAAAAGTACCTGTGAGTCTTTTTGCTTTGCAGAGATTTTTTTTCATGGGTCCGTGGACAGTTTGGCCCTGTTCTTAACTCAAATGAGTGGAGCTCTGCCTATGCCCAGACCTTTCCCAAAGGCTTAGAGGGCAGGTGGGCAAAGTGTGAGAGGCATTGCTCTGCTTTAAACTGGCCTGGCTGAGAAGCCAGTCACTTGCACCTGAGAAGGAGATGAACCTGCAGAGGCCTAGAGGATGGAGAACCCCGGCACTGGGTTGTCAGAGAAGGCTTCAAGGGCCCGTCAGGGCTTGACGTGGGAGCTCCGTCAAAGTCACCTGTCCTGCCTGCTCCAGGCGTCCCTGGGTGGGAATCCAGCCTAAAGCTCTCTGAGCCCCAGTTTTTCTTTCTGAAAATAGGGAATATTGCTGGCCCCACAGGAGGTTAAATGAACTAATCCTGGTAAAGCACTGAACACAGCATGTGAGGCCCAGCAAGCGCTCAGCCTGTCCACGGTCACCCTCCCCGTCTCCTTTTCGCACGAGCAGCTCATGGCCCGCTCGCGAACCGGGCTAGAGCCGTTCCCGTCCTGGGTTTTTCCTGGGCTAGGCACCGAACTTTCACCTTATTCTTCGTTTGATATTCACAACAACACTGTAAAGTCATTAGATATCCTGGAATAACATGTAATAATATTAACTTTGGTTGGACAAGGAATATATATATATATATTTTTTTTTTTGGTTGAGGGAAAATGCTTGATACAGTAGAAGGAACATTGCCCTAAGCGACAGACTTGAAGACTGGCCTTTTTATAACAACAGCACCAACAAGTGCTGAGTATTTCATGCCAGGCATCATGCTAAGCACTTTATCTTGATTATTTCATTTGGCATTGTGACAGCCAAATGACACAAGATCTATTATTAACTCCATTTCATGGACACTGGACCCGAGGCAGAGAGAAGTTAGTATCGTGATTCAGGCCACAAAGCCAGTACGTTTACTCTTCCCCACTGAGAACTGAGTATCTCCTGAGGGCCAAGTGCTTTGCATATATGCCTCTTGGAGTTTTCACAACCACCCATTTCACAGATGAAGTGATTGAAGCTCAGGGAAAGTAAATAGTTGCCTGAGCTGGGAAGTGCCATAACTGGGATCCAGCCCTGGTCTTAGTCCAATTCTGGCCCCAGCTAGAGGGGTAGCCAAGGACACTGAAGCTGGAAAGAGAGTCATAGCCAAAGGAACAGAGATAGTAGCTGCAAAGACTCATCAAGTATGAGGTTCAAGGAGGTTTGATAAATAGGCTTGCATCAGGGAGAATTGGGAGGGACCTGGAAGGCAGAAGAAGGAGCTTAGGACTAACCCTGGGATTGCCTGGGAGGAAGGAGGGTGCCTGCTTTTATGTAGTGCCAGCTGCCTGGTGGTGGTACCCACTGACAGCTTGCAGGGACTGCTCAGGACTGGGCACCTACATTGCTGCATTATCCAGGTCTCATAATTGTGAGCAGATTCTGTGATTAAACTAATTTGGCCATGAGGTTGCACCATACTTTCACCACCTTTTGTACCTGATAACCCCTGCACTCGTCTGCGTTGAAGGTGTACCACCCTAGATGGGCTCTCGGCGCCTCCCCAGTCGGCTGGCTGGGGCTTGGCCAGCGCTCTGCGGCCATCTGCCCAGGCTTCAAAGCCCTCTGTTGCTTTTGGCATGTTTAATAGCTTAATTTCTATTTCTCTGCTTGGAAACACAGTTCACCCGCATCAAAGCAGCAGTGGGTGCTAAAATGGTTTCTGATTGCTATCTTGAATGTTAATATCCTAATACATTTTATCGTCAATGACCTATTCCCCCCGCCACAAGCTTTCACTCCCCTTTTGCAAAGATAGGCACGCTGCCTGCCTTCGGGTCTGCCTCGCGGCCCATCTCATTCTTTTGCTGTCTCCTCCCTGCCTTTTGCAGATAGTATTGTACTTCGCCAAGGAAGTCCACAGTCGTGGGAAATCTCTGACTTAGAGGGTATGAGAAAGCGTTTCATTTTGCCGGCAGGGTTTAATAGGGATGATCTAATCTCTACAAGGCATACATTATTTAAATTCCATGCTTTTGGACAAGGGGGCCCCTGATATTTTTGAAATGCGGCAGGGACGGGATTCTGGTTTGGCTCTGATCAGCAGAGCCGGCTGTTGTTGGTTTTCCTGTTTGTAATTCTGCGCAGGGGCCGGCTTATGCTTGTGGCCGGGCGTGGGGGTGCAGTACTAGTGGTGAGGGTGCCAGAGAACGTTTTCTTTACTCAAAGATCTAAAATCACAGACTCCTGGGGCGGGAATGGGGAGAGTCGTCTTAGAGCATTGCCAGTTTGTTACGCTGCTCTCTTCTGCTCCCCTCTGTATATTGAGCTTGCGATCCCAGGTACGTGGTTCCTGCAGGGCAACCTGAGAGCCCCCCCGCCCCCGCCCCGCCGCACACACTGCCCGAAAGAGCACCGGAACTGTCACCAGGCGCCTCTCCCAGCAGGCACTGAAGACCCTTGTTAATGAAAGTGAATTTTTGAGGGAAACCTAAAGCACTCTCAACCATGAAAGGCTGAGTCTGGAAATAAAGCAGGGTTCATGGGGTTCACGAATGGCTCAGGGAACCCGGATTGTGAGTGGAGCGAGAGTCGCGGTGGGGGTGGGGCTCTGGAGAACGTCAGTTCAAGCTGAGCTTTGTCCTTCACAGGGAATATGTGGTGCTCATGGTACAGCTGCCTCTTTTTCCTTCTCACCTCATTTGAATGTCACTCTGGTGCAGATCACCTGCCTTCCTTCCTACCAGGGATGGAGGTTTAGAGGGGCAAATGATCCCAGTATAGACTCTGGAAGTTCTGAACCTAAAGTCTTTTCCCCCTTCCTCAAATGTTTATTGGGTGTCTCCGGATGAACAGACAGTGAGCTAAGCACTAAGGATGCCAATATGGTTCTCATATTCTCTGTCTAGCAGAGGAGATGGACGTATGGATCATGGAGTGCAGCTGAGAGGAGCCATCGTTAAGATATGTGTGTGTACTGCGGGAACACACGTGAGGGGTAATTAAGTCTTACTGGGAATATCTGGAAAGGCTTCAGAGAGGAGGCCATAATGGACCTCGACCTTGAAGGAGAGGGAGGGAGTCACCAGAATGACCCTTCCCAAGTTGCGCTTGCTGAGAGTGTGCCTACTTTTTGCAGGACACAGTGAAAGAGAAAAAGAAGGGCAGTGGTTCCAGTCCCCAAGAAATTCACAGCTTGTTGGGGAGACAAGCCTGGCACATATAAGCCAATGAAAGCCCCACATGAACAGATGGATTGTGGGGGTGGGGATAGGCAACTGGGGAAAGCTCGGTGACCCCGGGCTTTCAGAGTTACTGCTCTCTCTGTCTCACGAGGACAGTTGCTGTAAGCACAGTTCCGACCTTGCGAAGATAGCTCAACTACAGAAAGGCCCAGCCCCTCTGACTTTCCTTCCATCATGTGATTTCATCAGCCTACTTGTGTATTGGAGTAGTTAGTTAGCTGGACTTTGAAGTTGGGGGAGGAAGAGAGGGGGAGTGGAGAAGGTCAATGGTTGGACTTTAGGGATAATTGTCTCTCCCCACAACCCTGATAGAATCTGGACTTTGCAGAAATGCATGTGCCAACACACAGCCTGAGCCTGGGGCTCCTTCACTCTTGCACAAGCACCATGCATGTTCTCAGCCTTTGCTTATGCTCCTACTTCTGCTTTGAATGCCTTGCCTTCCCTTCCTTCACAGAGTCTTACCAGACTGCTCTTCTACATTGATTTCAAGCGCACCAAACTCTCACTTATTCTCTCATCCCGAAGCTGGGTTCAGCATCATTCTCAGTTTTTGAACTCCCCAGTGAGATCGCAAACACTGTCAGAGCAGGAGTAGTGTTGTTTAGTATAAAGAACATAGGTTTCTTTACACCGTTTGGGCACAATCTGAGCATTGCCACTTACCATAGTTTGGAACTTTGAGCACAGTTTCCTTAACTATAAAATGGGACAATGCAGTTTCTCAACCTCGACACCGCGGGCTGGATCATTCTTTGTTGTGGGAACTGTCCTGTGTGCTCTAGGAAGTTTGGTAGCATCCCGAGCCTCCACCTCGTAAACACCAGTAGCAGCACTGCCTCTTCTGTCCCCCAAATATCCCCTGTATCAAGTGTCCCCTGGGCCAGGTTTCCCTTGTGTAGCAAAATTGCTTCCGGTGGAGTACCACTGGGATGACGTACCTGTTGTGTGTGCCTCAGACCTCCTAGAACGGCATCGAGAGCATCATGGATAGTCTGTAAATGGGGATTCTCCTTTGTTCCTACTTCACCTGGCACTAGACACTTTGCAGGCTGATCACTTGAATGAAGCTGTGACTCTAGTTTTATCATCTTGGGGTGGAAATGTAATGGATCTCTTGGGTTGCCCCCACAATGCACTAACAGAGTCACTCTCATTTTCTTAATTGCAGATTGATCTGGAGCCAGAAGGCAGAGTGTATGTGATCATCGATCTTTCGGGGTCGTCGGGTGAAGGTAGGAGAGAGTGACCTCAGCCTTGTTCTCCTCCATTGATGCTTTGTCTTCCGGGCTCTCCCTTCCCTCCTTGGCTGGGACATTTTACAGTGGCATTTAATTAACTGGCACCCTTTAAAGCGAAAGGTTATTTTGAAGATGCTTATGCCTGTGTACCAAAAGGGACCAGCCATCTGTTAACTTTGGTGGAGCAGAGGGAGTGTTTGCGACTTACCAAGTGAGGCCAATAAAACAGGCGTTCCTGCACCCTGGTGCGCCAGGCAGGCTTCGGGGGCGGCAGCCTCTCCCTGGAGGCTGCCGTGGGGTTTGTGTGTGGTGGGGGGGAAGGAAGTAAAACCAGTTGGTCTAACGGTATTCAGAAATAAAACAAATAAGGTGTCAAATTTCAGAATCCTTCTGTAGAGCTTTTATAGAAGTGTTAGGTTTTTTGTTTTTTTTTTTAACAGTTCCGGGAAAAGTCCTGCTCTTAGACATGCTGGGGTGGGACTGTTTGCTCCCACTGGCTAATTACACAGGGTATAGATGTTCTCGGATCATTGGATTTTCCTTCCTTCTTCTTCTTGCACCCTGTGCTATTGGTCCTGTCTTTACCCTCTCTGCCTTTAAGGGTTCGCACAGTAGTAAGGACTAAGCAGCCAGCAAAAAGGAAGATTAGACAATAAAACCCTGACCACATGGGAATGGAGAGATGGTGGCAGACTTGGGTTCTAAGAAGATTGGGAATTAGGACTGAAATTTAGTTATTGGAACCATCTTTCTTCTCCTCCTCTCTGTGAGCAGAGGGATGGAACAGTTGGGTTTAAATGTCATGGCAGAAAGCTTAGAAGACCAAGGCTGGTTCCTCTTGGCAATGAGAACAAATGGGGTTTAGGGTCTGTGGTCCAAAGGGAAAGAAACAGCTCACCTAGGTCCTGGATGATAGACTTGGGCCTTTTACTGCATCTCCCCGGGTACTGTGGATGACAAGCACAAAGTCACAACCCCAGGTGGTCTCCCCTACTACAGGGAGGAAGCTCTAGTCTAAGGTTCAGTAATTGGAGGAGAGATTCTGTAAGCAAATTTAAAGGAGGTGGTCAAAAGGCGCACTTCACAGCAGTGCCTGATGACTTTCATCTGGCTGATTCATTGCCCAGTTTCAACAAGTATTCAGAATAATTCAATGATTGTGTGTGCGGGGGGTGGGGTGGGGGGGGCGGTGGCTCATAATAGAGTTTGGTTCTTTTTTAATCGCAATTTTTTGGCATGGGTTTAAAACTAAACATCCTTCTGAAGTTGGTCTCTTAGAATTTTCTGCTCTTTGTTGCAATTACATTTTGGTGTTTCCAACTTTACTTCTCTACTCTCAACTCAGAAAATCCCAGAATGGAATCTGTTATAGAAGGTTTGGGAATTCAGCACCATTTAGTATGAAATGTTTAAAGTGTATAAAGGGGCCTAAAGAATGATAAAATGGACACCAGTGTACCCACCACCCAGGCTAAGAAATAAAGCACCCAGTAGTATGTTCAAACCTTGCATTTCTTTTAACAAAGCATGTCATCTCAAATCCACCAGACTTAATAGCACATATTTTTGATCCATGTTTGGGAATCTGCATGTGCTGAAGGCTGACTTAATTTATACGGGGATTTTTGACTAGGCAAATGGTTGGTACTCCAAACCCACTTTGTTCAAGGGTCAGCTGTACAGATATATCTCGTTTTATTGCAGTTTGCTTTATTGTGCTTCACAGATGTTGCTTTTTTTTTTTTTTTTAACAAATTGAAAGAAATACTCTCCACCAGCAAAAATATTATAGCTCACTTTATTGTGGTGCTCTGCAACCAAACCCATATCTGTATATGTCTGTATACAGTGGCCTCCTAATTCTAGACACTGGTGAAACAATTGATGAGCAAAATCAACCCACTTTTTTTCTTACATAATCTATATGCAATAAGATAATTAATTAAATATGTATTTCCTGTGCCAAGATGCTGGGCAACCAATGGGAGGTTTGGAGTTTTGAAAAGATTAATGACTTGCAAAATTATACAAGACATCCTTTTTTTACATTAGAGGGACAGGATATGGACAAATGAATGAATAAATAAATTAGAAGCAATTGATCTCTTTTTTCTTCTTGTTTCTATAGCTTGTAGTATGTGAATGGCCAAAGCAATTTTCATTGGACTGATTTCATTTATTTAGGGAAAAAAACCTCTTTCATCTAAAAAATAAAAAATGGAGTTTACTTCAGAAATGCTGACACATGCCAGAATCTGTAAAGTGCTAGCATGTGTTGCTGTGAAGCAAAGGAGAAATTTTCTGCTCTTTTTCTCTTGCTCTTGGTGGATTTGGGATTCTTTATCTGGATGGTAGAAGGACTTCCAACAATCTCTTCCTAAAAGTTGATCCAGTGGCACTCTGTGCTCTACGCATCTGTTGTCTGGTCCTGCTGCTGGAACTTCGAGGGCTCCTGGTCCAGATGTGGTTTTGTTTTTGAAAGGTTTGGGAGGGTGAAGAGAGGAGTGGAGGATGTGTAGCCAACACATTTGTTTCCTATACTGCACGAGAATGGTCCGGTGTGAAAACAGTGTCACAGCTAGTTCACGAACATTCACAGATTCTCTTCTAAGTCCCTTTCTCTAGTAACAATACCCAACTTTGTACTCCTCAAAAGAAAGAAAAGCATTGAAATGGGGAATAGATGATGTTTTCACCACTCTAATCAAACATCCCTTCCAATGCCCCGGTCTCATCAATGGAAAAAATATACTTATAGAATTGGCAATAAACTTTACAATACATGCAAGTACAGAAGAGCCCAGAGAAAGATGTGAGGGTGAGATGGTATGAGTATACCTCCTTCTTTTAGGATGTGCCAAAGGAGTCTTTCTCTTGCTAACACACTGCAGAAAGCCTGGATGTTGATGTCTGCTCGAGTCAGAGCTAATGTGATTTCTAACTGTCTAATAAAATTGCGCTTCATGCATGTCCTGTGCAGTTCACCATAATGGGATTTGACCAGTGTGTGCTTTGTCTAAACCAGGCAACCTAACCCCAGATGTAAGGGGTCAGGCTGGATGACAGCTAAGGTCATCTCCGGCCATGTGATTTTGTTCTTTCATATAATTTAAATAGACATCTATCAGAGCTCAAGGCTGAGGGCTGGCTAATGTCTGTAGCAGATAGAAGGGATTGAAAGAAAGGGACTCTTCTGACAGGTACTGTGGGAGGCACTTTCTCTACATCATCCCAAGTAGCGAACCTTTTTGGAAGGTTTATGTGTGGTCCTCCAGTCTCAGGTGCCTCTGACTATTTTGCTTTTATCATCACTAATAACCGTGTGGCTTCCTGGTAAAGATGGTGCTTCAGGTTCACCAGAGACTTAAATCAGAGGGTAATTGGCCAAGGTAACTGAAGCATAAGCAGCAATATAATTCTCAAATGAGCAAACTGTAGTTCCTACACAGTTATCGTAGCCGTGCACGATAGTTAGTATTTCTTCCTTTGTTGTGATGTTACATTCTTTATAATAATATGATGCTGCACCCTGATTTTCAGGCTTCCAGAGGAGGGCCAGTCAGTCTGGCCTGGGACTTTCTAGGCTCTTCTTTCCCTGCCTTCCATCCAGGTGTAGTGCTCACCTGGGGGAGTTCTTCGGAGTCTAAACCAACAGTAGGAAGAACAAGAAGTAGGCCTAACTGGTATATTTGGATCACCAAACTGTCTCTCCAATAAAATGAAGAAGATACAAAATAATTGGAATGATTTTTGCAACACACACATCACAAATAATGGTGTTAAGTCAGGTTCTGGAGTGATTGCATATTGCAGAAGCAGAAGACGCGGAGCAGGGCCCGGGTTCACCGCTCTCCCCTTCTTTCAGCAGCCACATGCCGCAGAAAGTATTCAGTCTCCCCTCTGGAACTGGCAGCAGACAGAGCGGGAAAAGCATAGGAGTCTTCCAATCCTGAATTTAAATCATGGCTCTAGTGCTTACCAGTTTAGAGCTTCAGATTTCTCACCCATGCATGGGGATAGTCATAACCAGGATAGGTACTGTGTATGATAGGATTGCTGTAAGAGCAGTGCCTCAGTAAAGTGCCCTCACATATTGGAGATGCTCCGTAAACGCCAAAAGGTCTTGCAGACCTGCAGGCAGGGAGGTGGGCATAGCTCTAACCCAGTGGCCATGAAGGAGCAGCAGGCAGGTTCAGAGAAACAGAACAGTTCAGAGAAATAGTTTGAGTACGGAGATCTGACCCTGGAGCATGTATGTTCAAAAGCTCCAAGAACAGAGCAAGGTGACAAAGAGGTCATTTACAGACTAATATATCTGGCAGAGGCTATGGGGTTGCTTTATGCAGTGTTCACACCTTGCCATAGTATTGCCCCATTCTCTCTTTCCCCCGCCCCTTCCCTCCCTCGCTCTCTTCGCCATCCTTCCCCCAATGAAGGGTTTCCCAGAAATATATTCCCTAGCTTGTTTGTGTCCTGTGAATCTTAATGTCAGAAACTTCTTGTCAGAGCCTGGGCTGTGGCTTCCCTTTCTCAGTGCAGACTGAGAACATGTGGTCCCCATACTCTCACTGGCCCTGGGTAAAAACCCTTTGTCTATTTGAAGAGTATTATTAAATCTCTCTTCTTCAGGCTGAATCCATCAAATCCCTTAACTTTTCTGACGGTGTAGTTTAGAAATCTTAACTCATCTTTGCGGCTCTCTTTTGAACTTTTTTCAAGTTGCCCAGGCGGACAGACATCATCAAACCAGCTTTGCTCCATTCTAAAATGATAATGTGTGTAGATCAAGTGCCTGACAGAATGACTTCCATGTGGGAGATGGTGACATGGAGAGGTCAAGTGATGTGCCCAAGGCCACAGGGTTGATTACATGGCCCTACTGGGTCCAGACCGCAAGATGCAGTCCTGTGCCCTTCTCTAAATCACGGCCCGATAATGAGTTTGCTAACAAGGCAAAGACTTCCCTGCTGCTCTTTTTATTTTAGTTCTTTTCT